ACGAAATTGTTCGAAACACTTTGCTCACTCCACCAAGGCCGCCATTTTGAAAAGGATAAAGTGGGTAGCTCATTAATATTCTATTTTGTGGCTATACAAGAAAATTGCGATCCACTATTGGAAATCCACTAAAAATGTGTGCCGAAACCTATACTCGCCCGGGCACAGGTGCCCCAGCGAGTAATAAGACGCACCAGGGCGTAATGCCCTTCAAAGGGTGAATATAATACCTACAAAACCCAAATCCTAGCAGTTCTACTATGGTGAATAAAGATAAATCTTGATTACCGTCTTTCTTTCTTGGAGTGGTGCTTTCAAGAACTGTAGTTGAGGGTCTGTAAAGTCCAGATTTTCACTCACGAAAATAATGCAGTCATAGTCAGTTTTGTTTGGATCATCAGTTAAATTGATTGGGAAAATACGACCATCCAAACCGTTCTAGGAATAGAGTTGATGTTTCTGGTTCATTCGCAATATACTAGTTATAAGTTTAAAGTGTTGGTGATCATGGTAATATAAGTGTGATATAGTGTTCATGAAACGATCTTGACTCTCATGATGGTGCAATGATCGTCATGACGATAATGATGATGGTGATGATGATGATGACGATACATTGTTTGGAAACAAAACACGTTACAAAACCTTACATCCATGTTTCACCAAAATCTTTCTTTACTCAGCGCTATCTATGAGAAAAAGTAAATTTCATTTAAACTTATCGGTTTAATTTTGCATGAACTGCAGAATGACGTTGTCATCTAGACATTTATTATGTTGTTATCTGGACAGCGGGGCATCGGTGGCCGTCTGTCAACGCTCCGCCGACAGTCAACTCGGCCCACTAACCAACTCGGCCCACCGTTCAAGGACCAACTCCGCCCGCTCATAAACTGACTAATCTAACCATTAAACAAGCTAGGAGCCATGACTGCGTTCTATCTTTGCGAATTTTGAGAGAAATTTGAATGATCAGTAATTTAGTATCAAAACGGACAGATCGAGAATTTGAAACTTCGATAGATTCTTTAATTAAATTAAGTCAAACTGGATGTTCTCAAACTTTACTCATCTGTACGCCCAATGCAACTGCAAATGGCTGTATTGGTTTGGTGCTATCTTTTGTAAAATATTAGCTTTCCCAATATGTCAAACAGTAGTTAACAATTGGGCCAAGATGGTATGGGCCGAGTTGGTCAGTGGCCCGAGTTAACCAGCTTCGTAAACTTGCGCTATAGAAATGTTAACCTTAATCTACCGCATACACATTCAAATATATACAACATTAACATATTCTATGTGCAATTGATGCAAGCACTATCTATCGTTAGCATTAATGCAGCAAATACAAACTCGGTCTAATTACCTTTACAACTTCCAAAAGCTAAAACTCTTCCCCTAGTCGTAGTCGATCAGCAGCAAAATGTGCCGTATACCCAACTTAAAACTGGATTTATACCCTTGCTAGTTTCACGGTAGTGCTTCTAACGTCATCATCTTATGACGCAGATTGACGTTCGTAGCCAATGAGAGAGGAGCGGACTTCCGATCCTCATCCCTCAAACACAATGGAACATTCCATCTTTCAACGAATGAAAATATTCTTACCCAAAGGCTTGTTCGATGATCACAGTGACGTCATAAAACGTTGATGCAAAAACGTTTGAAGTCCGGATCCCCAGATCAAACGAGGATAAGTATGCATGAGAGTTGGTTGTCACGCGATCTTGGTTACAGCTGTTCTCAACGCTTTCCCAACACTATAATGCATTTTATGTTAATTTAAGTGACATCGTAGTTGGAACACTCGTCAAATCATTGTTAATCTAGAGCTAGAAATGTCCTCAGTAACAATTCGTTACTGGCTGCCATTAACCCTCATGAACTCTCATCTTCGTTTTGACCGGGGGCTAAATACTGATTGCTTACAAGTGCTTACGCCAACACACTCAATCTGTTTAAAGACTTGGAATCATACCATGCACATTCTCTTAACTTTTCCCCACGAGTTTCCGCCAACTGTGGTCACGCCCACTCTATAGTGTTTTCGTCCGAAAATGCATGTTTGCCACTGAGACTGTTGGACACTTTTCGACGAGATTTCGGGTGCGCAAGAAATCTAAGTGCAAGTGCGCAAACCAGTGCTCAAGTGCACCTTAAGAGGCAGTCAAGGGCACAATTAGTTATATGTTAAAAACAATGAAAATTAGCTAGAGATTTGAGGGGAGATTATAAAGAGCAAAAATTGTTATAAAGTACACCGTAGGTGCGCAAAAATTTCTGCCTTGAAAAATATCAAGTGCGATGTTAACGGCTTTGAATTGCTTTGAATGTGAAGATTTTTGAAAACGGAGCGTTTTGGATTTGTTTTGACTGGCGAAAACGGCAACGGTTTTCAAAAACGCTGACGTCATGAGCACAATCATGCGTGGCTAACATGCTTGCGTTGGGGTTGTTTAGTATTCTGATTTCAGAGGTAAATTGTCGATGTCTCAGACCACAGTTAATAAAATAATTTATTAACTGTGCTCGGACTGACAGCATATTGCTCTACACTGTCCCAATTTAATTTTTAATTGATCTCCGGACGACACTGCAAAATCACTACAATCCATCATTATCAGCGACGATATTACGTCAAACCTCGAGCAATTACTGTAAACCTCGATTTAGTGCCTCTTTCTCTCTAAACTTTTTCCTGGTCTTCTTGCGACATTCTCCATAATTGACGACGAAATGAATATTGAGCCCGAAAATAATAAAACGTGACGGTAGAAAACGATCCGAAAACGTTAGTGTGGACGCAGATATTTGTATGCGTTTTCAAGAAGAAGAGATTCGAAAGCGGATTAGTGTAGTCTGTGTTGCTCATTTATGTTGTTCGCTTGTATTGTTATATTAGTAATGTTGACATGTTGTGCAGTTGTGTCGTTCAAAACGCAAACTCCTGAACTCTATCGTATAACGAGTGACGTGTGTTAAAATTAATTGACAATGTTGTCAGGGGGAAGGGGGGGGGGGGACATCTTAGATAAGAGGTACACCTTAAAATTGTATTAACAAGTTCTATCCACGATTGTACGTTGTAAACGGCAGTTGGATTTTCTTGACAGAAATTAAGGGGACTTGAGGACTGGTTGCGTATCTGCAACTGCAATTTTCTTGACAGAAATTAAGGGGACTTGAGGGCTGGTTGCGTATCTGCACTCAGATTTTCTAACATTTGCGCACCAGAGATATATCAGCAGAATGTTTCTTTGCCAATCATTTGAAGTTATTAATAGCCAAGACTTGTAGGGTATAAAGGCTTCTATAATCACAATGAGTGTTAATAACGTCATGAAACTTTGAAGCAAAGCACTTAGTAGTTTTTGAAGTAATAAGTGCTTTTGCATTAATTAACACACTCAGCATCTGTTCAAGGATTGTCTTAGAATCATCATGCACAATCTCTTGACGTTTTCCCTACGAGTTTCCGTCAATGACTGAGCTGTGCAGCTCTGGCCACGTCCACTCTAGTCCGTTTTCGTTTGAAAACTAATACTTAAATTCCAGACTGCAGAGTTGGGGGACTTTTCGACGAGATTTCGGGTGTGCAAATGTTAGAAAATGTAAGTGCGCAAACTGAGGCGTCAAGTGCACCTTAACAGGCAGTCAAGAGCACCCAATTAGTTAAATGTCAAAAACAATGAAAATTATTCGTAAATAATATCTACACTATTAAAGCTTCTGTGATGACAGTAGAAATTTTGCATAGGTTAATTCTAAGTTTTGAAGGATTTGTAAGAAATGTTTGAGGGAACTGACTATGGCGGAGTAAACAACTCCAACGCAAGCATGTCCGCCACGCATGATTGTGCTCATGGCGTCAGCGTTTACGAAAACACGAATCCAAAACACTTACAAAGACACTGGCATGTTGCTTTATACTGTCCTAGTTTAATTTTTTAGTCGAGTCTCCGTCGGAGTCTCTGGTATTACAAAATCACTACAAGTACAATCCCCATTATCAGCGAAGATAGTTAAGTATGGCAACACACTCAATTTGTTCAAGGATTGTCTTAGAATCATCATGCACAATCTTTGACGTTTTCCCTACGAGTTTCCGTCAATGAAGTAGCAGTTCGTGTGAAAATGCAGATCAACATATTGCACTTAATATTTTTCAAGGCAAAAATTTTAGCGTACCTGGAGTGTGCTTTATACTGAACAAATTTTCATTTTAATCTGCCCTCAAAATTCCAATTTTCATTGTTTAAAACATGATGTATTGGATTTGTGTTGACTGGCGAAAACGAAGGTTTTCACTGAACGCTGACGTCATGAGCACAATCATGCGTGGTTAACCACGTGGGCTAACATACTTGTATTTGGGCGTTATTTAGTACTCAGATTTCAGAGCTAAAGTGTCGATGTCTTGGACGGGAAATATTGTTTACTAATCTCCAAGCAGTAGCTTTATACAAAGACAACATATTGCTCTACAGGGTGTCTAAAAAAACGCTATGGCAATTCAACAGACTGTCGTGCATCATCAACTTTGCTAAATTATTCAATTTTTACATAGCCATAGGACTCGCCTTTGCAGAGGCTTCTTCGGGCCTGCTCTATTGTAGACTATTGCACGACGGGTGATGTGTGACGCAACGTTTTGTGAACTGTTTAATGGCAGTTACAAGACATTTATTGACGATAACCTGAAGATTCAATGACACAGTACGTTCTAAAACGTCCACTAAACTGAAAATTCCGCAAAATTTGTGACAACTTTATGTTAGCATGGGTAGTTTGGGGTCTTCCGGTATTTCTATCACCAAATTATTCTGAACGGGTGCAGCAGGGCTGTTTTTCAAAATCACTTTAAAAATGGCTTGCGCACAATACATGGTAATCCATGCCCCTGTCATATTCAGCCAACCAACCACAAAATGTATTGATACAGTTGCCACAGGAAACGGCCTACTAGTAAGATAGGAATAGCAATCCGGAATCGCAGGTTCGGGCCTAGTGTTGCATCTTAAATTGTGTATATATATATGCTCACTTGGATTATCCACCAAACCTAGCATTCAAGTTCAACCATTTCCAAGCGAAGTGCAAAAAACATCTTTCAAATGAGAAAGAGACCACATACATTGCAATGCTTTATTTGTTTAACAGTCAATACAAGACGTTACATTCTATACTTTGTAGTATCAAGTTTCACTACCGAAGTTTCTTTGATTCAAAAAAGAAGTACACTTCGGTTGCAACTTACTGTGTACGAAGATTGTATCAACCGCTTTCAAAGATTTCAATCAAAGCACAAGTTTTCAAAAATGCTTCAAAAGTTTGAGTCAATTTCAGTTATAAAAAAAAGGTAATCGAACTTCAACTTCAGCGCGCTATTATACGTGAATCCCTCGGCGTATGAACAATTGGTTTTCATATTCGGAAAGATCGGGCTTTTAGCTGTTGAATGACATGCTTTTCATACCAAGTGGAGAAAAAATAAGCATGTACGAGGCCGATCAAAAATGTTAGTCAAAATCCCATATTTTGTATCTGTGCCTAATTAAAACAATGCATAACAAAAGAAAAAGCAATTAATCACGAACGTGTCGTAGCTTAGTTAAAGATTTATTCGTACTTAATAATAATTATGAATATGTGCGTCGTTTATTGAAGTGAAATTCATCAACTTAAGTACCAAAGGGGGTTCATTTTCAATGGTTTTAAACCCAACTCTCAACGGTGAAAATATGCGATTCTGCCTAACATTTTTTATCGGATTCGTATTTGTTCATTTTTTATCCATTTGGCATGAAGAAGATATCATTCAACAGCTAAAAGCATGATCTTTCCGAATGTGACAAAATCACGTTCATACGCAGAGTAATTCAGATACAATAGCGCGCTGAAGTTCGATTACCTTTTTTTGATACACTCTGTATAACGTTTTCAACCAGACGTTTTCTCTAAAGTTTGACAATTTGAGTGGAGACCAAAGAAACTTAGACAGTGCCAACCAGTACAAACAATTCAAGACATTCAAATCATTTCATCATTACTTTCATTAACTATTTATGATGTTCACAATCTTTTTTGCACACGAAAAGATCTCTGAGATAAAATGCAGACAAACCAAGGAGGGGTGTGGCAAATGGCATATCTGGATAGATTCCGCTGGATCCAGCAATATCAATGTGCATATATGGTAACTGCTTGTCAGAGTCCAAGCCATGCTATGAATGATAAACACCAGTTAGGTTAGTTATTCATGGAGTTGGTTCGACCTAACTCAATGGGTAAAGTTCGAACAATATTATGACAATAGGTGTCTGTAATGTTGTTTTCCCCCGGGCCATTGTCGGCTGCCAGTAATATTACACAACAAAAACATATCATGGATAATTTCATTGAAGTAGTGTATCAAATCACCTTGAAATAAAAGGATCTAAATGAGATTACAAATTACCTTGTCCAAACCAGAAGCACGTTGCAAAAACACACCAGCGTACTGATGTCCTCGATTTCCGCTCGACTTGTCTATTTGATAGAAATCTTCGTACTCTGTTTTCGATGCACTTGCATCAAAGTCCTGTGTGAAAAAGTATTATGATCATTTGAACAGTCCACACAGTACAGTGTTGACTGTGTTGTACTGCCTTACGCCATGTTCACTTTATAGTATTGTATCTGCCAAAACCATGGCCGAATTTTGAGACTGGAGATGTGTGGAGGTGCGCATTTCGCCTGAGTTTTTATCTTGAGCACTTACCCTGAGATGTTGTGCACCCCTCTAAAAATTCATGCACCTCCCCTTGATCGACTCAAACTGAACAGTTAAATTTCATGTATGTTACGAAAATGTTTGTGTTGTAACAAATTTCTTCTATAACATTGAAAGGTGATGCTCATATCTCTGCTAATTACCCTTTTAATGCAATATTTCGAAAGAAACGTCTTCGTGTTGTGGCGAGGGACAAAATTGGATTAGTATATAGTAGAGTCGTAATTGACAAATACATGGATAGATATGTTCAGCACATGTTCGTCACGTGGATGACTTTAGTGACCGGTTGTTCAAAGCTGAATTAGACAAACCCTGGGTTAAAACCTATCCAGCTTAAGCACAATTAGTTTAGTTTACCTCACGACGCATTGTGGAAATTTCACAAGGCTCAGCAGTTGAATCTCCAGCTAAGAAAAGGAATTAATTAAGTGTTTTCAGTTACAACATGACTTTATTATTATTATTATTATTAAACTTTATTTAAACACGGTACTATTTCACAAACTACTTACATTTAATTTAATTATGTATAAAAGAGAAGGAAAATAAAAATGTGATCTTCCAATAGGCAGTGTGTTTAACTATCTTATAACACTATCTACAATATACATATAGACTATTCAATTCAACATACATATTACTTACTAATGTAACAAATACTAACAATATTAAAATGTACTCTCAATTGATAATCTTGAGTTTTGCTTTAAAAATATTAACAGTTTCAGAATTTTTAATTTCACTTGGTAGATTATTCCAGGCCACTGCACCTCTATAGCTAACTGCAAGTAGTAATCGATTTTCTTGTAATTTCAAAATTCCTGAGTCAATAAGAAATACGTAGAAAGGTGTGCGCCATACTTCAATCTCCATTTTACAGTACTGGCCCAAGAGAAAAACATCACAAGATAGACGTTTAGCCAGTGATTTCAAAACTAAAAGGTTGCTCTATCCAGTTCAAGTTTCAGATCAATGGGTTAGGATAGATTAGGATAGATTAGGATGCATGCATGTTCCTAAATTCCTTGCTAAAAACCCACCTGCTTGAAGAGACTGGCAAAGATTCTGCTTCTTGGCAGGTCCATTTTCCATGATACCCTGGACACAACAGAATGTTTTCATATTACTCATGAAAATAACTCGACGGAATATTCAACTGCTATATATAAATGTAGTTCTGTCGACCATACACTGAACTCCATATATAATCTAGAGCGTGAACTCGAGTCCAAAAGGTGAACCCAAGATGTCAGTTCCAGTCCTTTTCTACTATTTTTGTCACTGGTTTTTGTCTGCGCGGTTAACACGAAGCTGGCAAGGAGTGTGCATGCTGAAATTCCGTACTTTGACCTCGATTTAAAACAATAATATTCTGGTTTTATGAACTGACACTGACTTGTTTAAAGATATGGTCCCAGCCAATTCCAGTTAGAAGAAACTGGAATTAGCTGGGAGAAATGGTATTAAAAGTGTTTACGACCTTCATAGATGTTGGACGTCAATTTCGGCCTTCACTTTTCTCATAGACCGAATGACTTCAAGGCCCCTTGTTAGCCGGCAGAATGTCACAAACTCTGGTTAACTCTAAGTTAGTATTCCTTTGACAACGGCTGAACACCATCAAAGTTAGCCCTGACCGAAATTTCCACTTACTGAATAATGAGTACCATAGGTTCTGATGCAGTGGCCAGTAAGAGTAGCAATGGTGTAAATGTGAGGGTCAGGTTGTCCAATGGCCTATATTATAAAAAGTAAGATAGTTACTGAGTCCTTCAACACATATTTTGGTTTTTGAAATCACTATATTCCGTACCTCTTCTTTCATGTGATAAAGACAGTCACCCATCGCAAATCTTCCCTCGGCATCCGTGTTGTTCACTCGGATTCTCACACCAGAGGCAGCTTTGATAATCTCATCCCCAACATACATTTCTAGAAAAAGACATGAATCCTCTATTAAGGTCCCATTTTTGGAGGAAATGTGTCAAGCACCCCTGATTAAACCCCTCACCCCTTCACAACTAAGATTGAATTTTATCTTTAAAACTTACCCTTTCGTTCATGTTATGACTAAATTAAATACTCCCTTCCTATCTCATAGTAATATATTAATTGAGACTTACCGGCTCCAACGCTGTTTCGGACCATTGCCATTGTTCCACGAACACGAATACCGGCAGGTTTAAGAATGGATAGAATCTAGAAACAAGCATGCAGAGACCTTAGAAGAATGTTTATTTTACCATGGCCAGTAAAATATGTGCACGAATCTATAACTTTATCTCAAAAAAATAAAATCAATAAAGAACCTAATTTGTAACGAACCTTAAAGAATCCAGCAACAGCAGCCGCACCAGACTTGTCCCTTAAGGAAATGAAGGACATTTATGAACATTTTTGAACCTGCGCCGTAGTTGTCCAGCTTGACACTTTTCAGTCAGCTCTACCCCTCGCATGTTCGCCATGAACCGAGTTGATATATATGCAATTATGTTCCTTTCCTAATGGAAAGAAAATCATGTTCCTACCTGTTCATGCCAGGCATATTCCCACCAGTCTTTATATCAGCTCCACCAGTATCGTACGCCACCCCCTTAGAAATGTAATAAAACGTTGCTTTAAGAACCATTAGTGGCGGATACTACGGGGGGAGGAGGCGGGCTGAATAATTCCTAAAGTACCAAATAACTAATAATTTCCGAAAGTATTTGAATGATAGCCGAATAGTACTGTAACTGTGTAACAAAGCTGTAACAGTTTTTCAACCATGAAAGCATTGGTAGGCTATAAATTAGATTGCATAAAATTAAAAGCAAAAAAGTACAGAAGTAAGATTTGTAGCAACGGTGGTCATATGGTGGCAACCTAAATCCTCCCCCACCCCCATCAATATTACAGCATGTATACAGTATTTATAACGAGAATAGCTGAGTCGGTAGAGCATTCATATGGAGATCGAAAGGTCCCAGGTTCGATTCCTCACCGCGCCAACTCAGCCTACAAGTGGTGTGGTTTCAGGTAAAACTGGACTGTGTGTTAAGTTACTGGGAGCTGTTAAAACATTTCCCTGGTGTAACGCAAGCAAAAAGGGGATAGACTCCCTCACTGCACGGCTAATACCGACAATACAGTAAGCCTCCTTGATCTATAGAGCCATTGCACATGACGTCACAGCGCCGGTGACGATGCATCTGGAGGACAAATTAGCAATCTGTGCATAATATAACTTTTGTAAACAAAGCAAATTTTGTAAAACTTTATAATAATTTTCTATTAAAATGGTTAATCTTTGCGCCATATGTGGTTGTTGTACCCGAACAGATATTGTTAGGGAGCATCTGGAGGACACTCTAAGGATTTGTGACGTCAGTGCAATGAGTCTATAGTTACCACAGTACTGTGGCTATTGTGTGAGAGTAGATACATGTAACTTTACTATGGCATGTTTTGAATTCAATAGTCTTGATACGGATGTGATTTGCGTCGCACCTTTCCAACCAACATTATAGTTTTCTGAATTGCCGCCCTCTGCAGTGGCATGTACTCAAAGTTAATAACTCGCCCTCGGTGACGTTCAGTGACTAAAGAAAAAAAACAAATTTTCGCGTATACCGTTTCCATAACACTAACAAAAACCTGCGACATCATGTTGTGTGAATAACTCCAATCACACATGTATGTATATCAGAGGCGACCTGGCCCACCGCGAAATTTGCATGTCAGGAAATTTTTCGGTGCTCCAGTACTTGAGAAAGAATTACTGAAATGGACCTTAACGCGTTCAAAATATTATAAAAGTGGTTTAAGTGGGTCTGATGAGTGCATGAAGTGCCATTTTCCCGGACCCTTAAATTCAGGGAACCACTTCTCATATGTACTTGCATTAAGGTGGAAGAGGAAATCAAATTACACTTTCTATCGAGTTACAAATCGTAACTATAGTTTACATACCAGAAGCAGCACGGTCTACGGCAGCCAGTAAAGGATACTTTTCTTTAAGTTCGTGAGGGCACTTCGTTACAGTTATCTATAGGATGTAAGAAACTACAGTTGTAGCTCTAGTCTAAATAAACTATTAGCGTAAGTTGGAGGACTGTTTACGACGGAAAATTAAAGGAAAAGATCTGGAGGAAGACAGGGGTACACAGTACGTTGTTAGAACAAATTGGAAATGAAACGAGGACTGTCGATTTGGCAAGACTCATGACAGGTAACAATTAAAGATGGATGTACATGGGTTGCTGTCTGTCTGGCAATCATACTCATGAAATTTTTATCACTGCACGTTCCATAGGCAAAGGAAAAGTGTCAGGATGACGCCCTTTTAGAATGACTGAAAGTACAACCATAACTGCTCGCTAAAAGCAATCCTGATGACAAGAATTTTCCGACTTAATCAGGGTTTTTTTTCACAGAAAATAGTCTATACAAGGGAATTATATATAGAAAGGGTGATTTTGACTGATCGCTTTACCGCACACAATTCTTTGAAAAACACTCGAATATTTCATTTACATTATGAAATCTACACAATAAGGCCAAAATATATAGTTGGTTCTGTTAATTAAGCGTACACTCAGTATGGCTCAATAAAACTTTGATAGTTATATAGCTAACCAGTCTTTACCCTGCATGCCCCTGGCCTCTACATGCAGTCTGCTTGAAAATACTTCATTGTTGTTTTCTTCTGACTTACCTTGACGGTTGGATCGTCTCCCAAAACCTTGAGCACGTACTTTTCCACTTCAGTTGTACACGAGAATTCAGGATCAGAAGCAGCAATATCTCGACAAACCGTTCTACAGGTGACATGGAAAATATTTATTATTAGCAATATACTATAGGGCAAACTCACAGCGGACTTTCTCGAGGATTTTCTAATGATTGCCAACATTCAATATTGATTTTAATTTTTTAAATAAATTCCTTTTCAGCCAGTGTAAATATTAAATGCATCTATGTATGTAGCTATATACCTTCCAATTTCTACTGCTTTCACATATTCCAACATTTCCTCACCGTGCTAAAAAGAAGACCATTTTTATGGCGTAATATATATTTGCATATCAAGCAGCTAGTGTGTGTATATAATTTAGACAAGTCTATATATCGAACCAGCTTGGAGTAAAGAAATACTGACGAATTTGGAATTGGGACGACGTCGTTCACTATTAAGCAGACTTAGTAGTAGTGAGAATTATTTGAAAAAATAAAAACCTCAAGTTATAATTACCTTGTCAGGGCCGGTAAAGAATATTGCTAAGCAATCGACTTTCTTTGCTTTTGTTGGATCAGAAACAGCCACTTCAATAGGCTAAATATATAGTAAATATCAAAATAAATCGACTGACAAAAATTGAAATTCATTTACAGAAGGGATTGCTCGTCCTTTTTCATAGTGAAATGAACAAAGTCATATGCAAATTAGTACAAGAGAAGAGTTTCATCGTTCATTTTCTTCAAAACGAAATATACTAACAATTACTAAATTCGGCTTCGGTTGATAACACAACCCGAGGGCTTCATATCTTGCGAAAACCGAATTCAACAATGGTTTTACTTGGTTTCACTAAATTTTACTATTTATTTGAAAAAGACATGCGCACCTAGGTATTCAATTCGTTGAAATAATGATTAGTTATTTTTCTCATTTGCAGAAAATCTTTCCTTTTTGCTTTCGTAAGTTTGTTAAGATGTTTCAAAACCTTTCGTGGCTGCTTTCGTTGAAATTTTTTCTTTATATTTTAAAAGTCGTTTCCTTTAAACCTGCGACCATGGCCGATATTTTATTTATAAACTTACTGTATACAACGCTTGAAGAGCACCAAAGGCAGTTACTGTCCACGCGTGCTTAAACGAAGTCTCGGAAGGCAAAACCAAAACAGGTTTCTTTGATCCTGCCTTGAGGGCTCTGTAGAAACACAAATGGCAACTTTAAGTCAATGAAGGTTTTGGCAAGCAACTTCTGGCGAGTACTGATGCTCGTATAATGTCTAAGTGTTTTAAATCTTTTCAGGTATAGTTCAATCACAGACCACAGAAGCTCTTAATGTAGAATTTCAACACACGCCTGTTGCAAGCGTTAAAAAATTCAAGTTTCCTCCCGGCTCTCTTTTTCATCGTTCAACAATAAAAATTTTAAACAAAGTCAAACCCAATCCAACATCAGCCAACAATAATCAAACAAAGTATTCAAACGAAGCCAAGAATGTTGCATCCAATAAGGTTATGAATACGTATCGTCCTGCAATTCAACAATTTTGTCAACAAGTTGCGAGTGACAACCTTGTAGCAACTTGATAAAATAACAGCATTGTTACAACTTGTTGACGAACTTGCTATATAAAGCTTGTTGCGAACACATCTTGTTGACAAGTTGTGCACAACAATTCCATTAGCATACCTCTTCATTCCATTGCCAGCGGCATCATAGTATCGTCTGACGTCATCGTAGTCACGATTTACTGGTCCTGTTGGTACGTAAACCTGGAAGTCAAAGCAAAGCAATTTTCTTCACAAATCGTGACTAAACTTGCTGTCATCCTATTATGAACCGATTCTAAAGTAAGGCATTCTTATTACAGGGGACTATGACGTAGCGAAGGGCCTGTGGCATGGCGCCTGCTCACCAGACGTTTTACGTTGCCATCACTGCCGGTGAAAGTTATGAAACTGACGTCCTTTTCAAAGTTAGAATCATTCTACAAACAATACACAATGCAAATTTAAAAATTTAATATCATGTGTAATAGCAGCCATGTTAAACAGTGGAAATTATCTCTCTTTGTCTTGTAAGGTTTTACTGAAATTTGGTATTATTTTCATTAAGTTTCAAACCAAATCTGAAAGGTAAATTGCTAAAATAAAGATAATTTAGATTTGATAAAAATGGGTGTAGAAAAAGTTAAGAGACGAAGATATTATGAGGCAAAAGCGCCAGTTCCCTAGCCTTTACGATTAGTGAATAAAGTTTTGATTACCGTCTTTCTTTCTTGGAGTGGTGCTTTCAAGAACTGCAGTTGAGGGTCTGTAAAGTCCAGATTTTCACTCACGAAAACAATGCAGTCATAGTGAGCTTTATTTGGATCATTAGTTACATTGATTGGGAAAACACGACCATCTAAACCGTTCTAGGAATAGAGTTGATGTAATCTCAGTTAGAGCGGTTATGGTGATGTTTATACGGATGGTGATGGTAATGATGATGGTACATGTAATGGGTGGGTTTATAGGGGCGATGATGTAATGGTGGTTGTACAGTAATGGTGATGTTGGTGATGGGTATGGGTGTAGTATGGAGCATGTCATCCTCGTTCCCAGGGCTCACCCAAGCACTGGGAGCGAGTATGATGTTGATTAGAATAATGGTGATGATGATGTAGTTCTTATGATTGATTATAGTGACGGTATGCCAGTGATGGTACTGACAATGGTTGTGGCAATAGTGATGATGTCAGTGCTAATGATGGTGAAGATAGTCGTTATGAGTATGGTGTTGTATAGAATAAGTGCAATGTTGATGATGATAATGATGACGGTGTTATGGTGATCTGATCACCGTGATCATGATGATGATGGTATAATGATGATGATGGTTCTAATGGTAACGTACTAATCATGATAAAGGCGATGTTCATGGTTCTAGTAATGATGATCGTGCTGAAGATGATCGTGCTGGAGATGATCGTGCTGATCAAACACTAAAACCAGACTGAAGATGGTAGTACAATCACACCAAATGGCAATAGCTCACGGTAACACAAGAAATCTTACATCCATGTTTCACCAAAATCGTTCTTCACTCAGCGCTATGAGAAAAAGTAAAATAGAGTTGATGGTTGATGGGAGTTGGCAGTCACGCATTGTTATGGTCTTGTTTGATGAGTGTTCCAACTATGTTTTAACTTTGAACGGTGTGTACCAGCGTAGAGAACAAATAGCAATCTTTATAGGGAATATAACAACTGAAAAATGTGTGGCACACAATTTTTTGATAGATTCCGCACTGTGCACTCGTGACTCGTATTCCGTTTTCCGCAGCTCGTATTCCGCACCCCGTCTTTTCTAGCACGCTGGTCCAACGGGGTTCAGATTCAAACTCGAGTTATTTTCAAGCTCAAACAGGTAATCTTGCATTCAGCAACACTAGTTTTGCCCCTCCCCCTGCTAAAAAAAAAAAAAAAAAAAACAACAAAACGCAACAGATTAATTAACCATCCTAATCAGAAATCAATGAGACCAGACAAGAATGACCTCATACTGTTTCGGCATACTTTGTATTGCTGATGGGGAGCTAATCTACAGCTGTGCTGTTATGGAAGTCTTGCAAAATATAAAATTGATAGTCTTAGAAATTTGCATGGAAAGATTGCGATTGATTGTTTACTAACACTACAAGGAATGCAGCTCGGTATATTAAGATGTCTGACCACAATCATGTACTCTGCTTGAACTGATAATTAGTAATGTGTATACTAATAATGGACAATATATAAATGTGGCTGCATGCCTCGCTCGAGGCTGCAGTGGGTGGGATATGCAAAGTTGAGAAAAGGGCAAAGGCGAGAGTATTTGATACGCCAAACAAGAATGTGATACGATACATTCATAG